TTTTGGGATTTTGGCCAGTCATCCAGAAGTACTCTGACTTCAATAAATTAATTACCATTGTTGCCTGGATCTTACGATCTATTCAATGGCTTTCTGTCTGTAGACAAAATTTGAAAACTATCAATCTACCCAATAATAATGGAGAATTGATAAAACCTAACTTTTCCAAAATTTTACAGCCACAAGAACTTGAAAAGTCACTTTTATTTTTAATAAAAATTTTTCAAATGCAATGCTTTGAAACAGAATATAAACTTTTGTCAGAAAATAGACCAGTACAAAATAATTCCAAGCTTTTAAAATTAAACCCTTTTATGCACCAATCTTTAATAAGAGTGGGAGGGCGTCTAAAACATTCGAATTTGGATTTTGACAATAAACACCAAATTGTTTTACCGAAAAGTCATAAATTAACTGAAATGATAATTAAAAACGAACATGAAAGGTTATTGCACTGTGGTACACAACAGCTAATTTTTTCAATGCGAGAGAAATTTTGGCCCCTCTCAGCAAGAAACTGTTGTAGAAAAATTATAAACAGTTGCATACCGTGTTTTCGTGTAAAACCCAAAGGTATAGACTATTTGATGGGTGAGTTGCCTCCAGAAAGAGTTCAACCAACTTTTCCATTCCAAAATGTTGGAATTGATTATGGAGGCCCATTCCTTATTAAAGACAGGCATGTTACGAGAGGTAGCAAATTGATAAAAGTGTACTTATGTATTTTTGTGTGCATGGCCACTAAGGCTTGCCATTTGGAGGTAGTTACTGCATTGACCATGGTAGCATTCTTGAATACATTAAGGCGATTTATTGGCAGGAGAGGTAAGCCTTCTCATATATTTTCCGACAACGGGAAAAACTTTGTAGGTGCCAATTCGGAAATTCAGTTATTGTATGATTTCTTAAACAAGCATTCAAATAAAATAGAAAATTCGTTGGTTAAGGAACGTATCCAATGGCATTTTATACCTCCAAGATCACCCAATTTTGGGGGTTTGTGGGAGGCAGCCATAAAAAAGGCTAAATTTCATTTGACCAGAGTAATACAGGGTGGTTTAAATTCAATGACGTTTGAAGACTTGTCCACTTTGCTGGTAGAGATTGAGAGCATTCTTAATTCACGTCCTCTATCCCCCTTATCCAACGACCCGTTAGACCTCAACCCTTTAACTCCTGCACACTTCTTGATTGGTCGCAGTTTGACCAGTTTACCAAGTGGTGGTAACTTTGTGGATATATCGCAGAATCGACTTACCAAGTTCCAGCAGTTACAAGGCATGGTTCAAAAGTTTTGGACTCGATGGAGTCGTGAGTACCTCCACGAGCTTCAAGTTCGCTCAAAATGGTACAAACCTGAGAAGAACCTCAAAGAAGGAGCAATGGTGCTGTTAGTTGATGAAAATACACCTCCCTACTTGTGGAAAATGGGGAGAATTCTTAAGACTTTTGCTGGTAGTGACGACGTAGTGCGTGTAATCGAAGTATTAACGCAGAATGGTGTTTTCAAACGAGCTGTTAATAAAGTGAGACCTTTACCAATTGAAACCTGTTAAATGAAACTCTCATACATTTGAACTGTTTAATTTTTTTTTTTTTTTTGGGTTTAGGGAAAAATTTATCTACTTTCTTTTTTATTTAAGTATTTTCTTTCTTTTGATTTAGGTTAGCTTAATCGCAAAAAATGTTACTCTGAAGCCCTAGCGGCCATGTAACTAATTTTAAGTTAGTTTTAAGAATGAAAGATGTCAATCTGAAGCCCTTACGGCCATGTGAATAAGTTAAGTTTTTATGTATCGTTTTGAAAACGGGTGTTTTCAAGGTGGGCGGTATGTTTAGTTTTCTAACACCACCGGTGCCAGCCTATAAAAATGTGTTATCTTGAGTACCCTTTACGGTGTTAGCCTCTAATTTTTGTGTCGGTCTCGATGCGTGTCGTCGCACATCGAAAGGGTAAGAAGAAAGAAGAGGGGGCGAAGCCAGCGCCAAGAAATAGATTATCGATTTTTGAGATAATAGGTACAATGTTACGTTGTAAGGTACCGTTTTCTTTCTTTTGGCAAGAATTATCCATTTTTCTTTATATTTAATAAAGTTATTCAAGTAAAAAGTATTTTGATGATTTTCTTTTCAACCAAAGTCAACTAACCAGTTATAAAACATTACACAGATCTTATATTATGGACGGCGTCCGCGCCGACGAAGCCGTTCTGAATTACACTTGGTTTCGTAGTATCATGACCACATTTAAGTGGTACAAAATACAGTCAGTCATAGACGCGTGTGTTCTCTGTAATGCTCTGAATCACACGTGGATTTGGAGTAAGTACTTTTGCATTTGCGTTGTACAGACCAGAGTTGAGTACAGAATATTTAACGTTATGTGGCGCTCTGTACTGCACTGTGGTTCGGAATTACGCGAACGGGAATGGGATCCACGGTTTCTAGTGAATTTTTAGGTCAATGATACACTTCGCTTCCATTAGTTCTCGATACTTTTGCTGCTGTAACATAATCTAAGAAATAAAGAAAAGAAACTAACACAACACAACATGGTAGATGATACTTAGATGGCGTTGAGTACCTATCCATATTTTTTAGAATTATTGAACAATAAAAAAGATAGGAGTGCTAAAAATTGCAAAAAAGGGTGGGAAAAATTTAGTAGATTTCCCACTAGTTCAAAAAAATTTCGCCTGCGGCGCCATTTTTTTCCTCCTAGTGGATTTAAATCTCTTTTTAGCGGTTCACAGTTGGCAACACTGCACATGATTATAAAAACAGTAGCGGCGACAATAGCTTTTTTTCGCGCAGCCTTTTTTGTTGCGAGCGTTCGTTCTAATTGTTTTTTGATGAAAATCACTTACAAAAAGTTATTTTTTGAAGGCTACCTGCGGCGAGCCTTTATAATTATGAAAACCCCCCCCAAATAAAAAACCTGGGTGCGCCACTGGCGTCGACCATGGTATCCTCCTGCAGAAGCTTGAAGCATACAACTTTCAACCCAGCAGAATCAAACTGATAAAATCCTATCTTAATAACAGGTGCCAAAACGTGAGGTGTGATGGTGTGACATCAGCAGAGAGGGTGGTGAACATTGGTGTTCCACAGGGTTCCATTTTGGGCCCCATTCTCTTTCTCATTTACATCAATGACTTACCAGCGCAAATGGCGCCAGTGAGCATTTCACCTTTTATGCTGATGACACAACTATTTCTTTTACTGGAGACACCCTGGACTCTGTGTACGCTGGATCCATGGACGCGCAGGCGAGGGCTGAAACCCTCATATCAACCATCAGGTCGCCAAAAAACTAACAAAGGGCGTTTATGTTGTAATCTTTCATTTCCATATATCCTACGCGATTCTGGCCTGGGGGCACTCTGCGGGGGTTCATAGATTGTTTGCGCTGCAGCGGAGAGTGGTGAGGGTGATGGCACGCCTTGGTTATAGGGATGAGCGTAAGGGGGCATTTGTTTCTTTGGGAATACTTACGGTTCCCTCCCTGTATATTCTTGAGAATCTGCTTCTTGCAAAGAGAAGTAGGAACTATCAGCAGCATGAAAATACTCACCAATATGACACCAGGAATAAAAATAAACTTGAGTCTTTATACTGGCGCCTCAGAAGATGTCAGTGTTATTGGGCAATCAAATTTTTTAATGTTTTACCCCAAAATATCAGAGAACTTCCCTACAATGCCTTTCATAGGAAGGTTAGGGAGATTCTTTTAAAGAACAGTTTTTATTCATTCTCTGAATTTCTAGATTTTGAATTTTAAATGAAATGTATATTGTCAATAAGTATGTGTTTTTAGCTTTTTTTTTATAATTATTATGTAAGACAAATGTCTAGATTTAAGTTTAATGCCTTCTTGTAGTTTGTATCTATTTTGATTTTTGACGTGTGTAAACATTATTTGTAATGGCATGATTAATAAATGATTGATTGATTGAAGGTCCAAGAAAAATCTTCAAATTATTTTCATTTTTGATCCTTCAACATCTGGTAAATTCTTTCTGGTTCAATCCATCTGTCCATAGAAGATTGCTTAAAAAAATCCAAAATCCTGGTGTAATTTCGACTATAACAATTGACAATATTGTCTTTTGTTGAATAAAATACAAATACAAAACAATAAATCAAAGACAATCTTTTTTCGCGTGAAAGATCAAAAAGATACATTATTTAAATATCACTTTCATACCCAGACAAACAAAATCGATTTGTATTTCCGACGCGAATTTTTGATTTATCACCCAGAGAAAGAGAGTGGTTTTCCCGCACCAGGCTGTTGAAGAGCTAATTTTAGCGAAAAGATGGGTCCTTTAGTAGAATCAGTCGAGGAAATTTTATTTATAGATTCCTATGCATAAAATATGTTTTATGTGTGTCGTGGAAATAGAAAAGTCAACGAACGAACGAACTCTATTTTGCGGGAATTAGGATGATGGTTGTGTAAACAGCCAGCTTGCAAGAAATAAATAAATCTGGTTGTAAACACGTTGCAGAAATAGATTCTCCCCGGTGATGATTCAATATTTTATGACAAATAACAATAAAGTTTCCTGTGAAATTCTCAATTGTTGCTGGAAAAACCCAAACAATGTGTTTCTTTGAAAAATTACATTTGCCAATTACAAAAATTAGGACACAGTCGTTTATATTTAAAACCCCGGTGTTACTTTTTAATGAGCCGGTGTATAAAAATACTTGCACGCCACTTGATTTAGATCACATTTTGTTGTCTGACAATAAATTAAATTGTTGCAACCCAATCTCTAAAAGTGTCCAATCTAACATCACCTGATGTGCGGTCTATTCTATATAAATCTCGCTTAAATTGAGATTTATCTTTAAGTTTAAACCCTGCGAAATATAAATGGTCCATGCTGTAGACTAATGGTGGGGATCCAAGAGTCCAGACAATGAGCATTTAGTGATATATTAAGGCAGTCAATTTTGAATCTTTGGATACCTATTTTTTAACTATTACTTACCTTAGAATTGGCAAGATTTTGAAACGATAATTCGGATTCTTCTCCGTTGAGCATAATTGATACTGTTTGGGTTTTCATTATCACATCTGAAACAAATACAAAAAAAAAATCAGCATCCAATTTTATAGAGCATATCGATTACTATACCAAAACCCCTCTATTCACAAAAAAGTTCTGTTTTAGACAGTAAATTAATTGTTTTTTTTTTTTTATGGCGTAGGTATATCATCACTGGCATATTGTTTTTCAATAATATAGTTTGGCAAAACTGCAATTGCGTTGGAGGTTACACAAACCGATAATATTGCACTTTAGCATAATAAATTTTTATTAGGAAAAACAATAGTCGGTTTATTTTTGAAATAATTACCAAATAATCGACTTTATGTACCGTGCAGAATTGCTGACGTCAAACGCCGGCTTTTATCTCTGGGCTTTTAGTACGTATAGCGATTTTTCTTTATTTTTCGAAAATATACAAAATGTATCTTGTGCCCGTTGAGTTTATTATTTTTGGAAATGATTGTGTATACAAGCGGTTGAGGCGAGGAGTACGAACGCTTAAAAATGAATTTTTTGATTACAATTTTCGTCCTTTGATACACTGTTTGGATTGTGTCAAATAATTGTAGAGGGCAAATCAACAAAACTCATTGGAAAATTTAAAAAAAATTATTATGTCTTAAGGAAATCAGAGATTGAATGGGAAACTCTAGAAATCAAATACCTTGAAATTGCAAATTTTTCTGTGTTGAGACTTTGGCTCAAGGAAGTTAGATATTTAATAGTAGGGAATCAAGGAAAAAGTTAGAAAATTCAGAAGAACGAACGTTTTTTAATATACCTAGTTCAAAATTTACTTTGAAAAAGATTTCAAAAACCGTAAAATTTCAAATTTTTCCTTGGTCATAAGATTAAGTATCAGAAATTCAATGAGGAAGTTGAGGAATCAAGGAAAAAGTCAGAAAATTGGAACAAAAGTGCAATAAATTGTTTCCAAATTGTTTGAAATATGATTTTCCGAATTTTTTGGAAATATACCTTGGGAGACTTTCCATTGAAAAAACTTTAAATTTTAAGTTTTCTCATGTTTACCTACAGGTTTTGGCTTAAGGAACTCATAGATTCAGTAAGGAACTGAAGAAAAAGAATGAAGTACAGCGAACAAAAATGGTTAAAATATGTTTCCTAAATGTTCGGGTAATGTACCTTGAAATACTTCCCCTTCAAAACCCTGAAATTTAAGATTTTTCTGTGTTGAAATTTTGACCTAAGGAAGTCAGAAATTTAAGGAAGCAGCTCAGAAAGTCGAAGCTGAAATCAGAAAATAAAGAAGGAACCGAAACTAAATTCTAAAGGTTAAATTATAATATTTCAAGGAAAACCTTAGAACTTCAGAGTATGTACCTACCTTTTCCATATGGTCAGATTTTGGCTTAAGAAAATCAAAAATTCAAGGAGAAACTCAAGGAATCAAAGACGAAGTCAGAAAATTAGAAAAGAGTATGGAGAACAACTTGCAAATTGTTTGAAATTAGATTTTCTAAACTTTTTGGAAATTTACTTTGGGAGACTTTTCCTTGAAAGAACTTGATGCATCAAGTTTCTCCATGTTTATAAATTCTGGCTCAAGGAACTCATATATTCAGTGAGGAACTCAAGAAATCAAAATGGAAGTCAGACAATTAAGAATGAAGTACCTACAGCAAACAAGAATGGTTAAAATATATTTCCTAAATGTTCGGTTAATGTACCTTGGAAGACTTCTCCTTCAAAACCCTGAAATTTAAGATTTTTCTGTGTTGAGATTTTGACCTAAGGAAGTCAGAAATTTAAAGGAAGCAGCTCAGGGAATCAAGGCTGAAATCAGAAAATAAAGAAGGAACCGAAACTAAATTCTAAAGGTTAAAATATAATATTTCAAGGAAGACCTTAGAATTTCAGAGCAGGTAGGTATGTACCTTTTTCATATGGTTAGATTTTGGCTTAAGAAAATCAAAAATTCAAGGAGAAACTCAGGGAATCAAAGACGAAGTCATAAAATTAGAAAAAAAACATAAAAAAACAACTTGCAAATTGTTTGCAATTAGATTTTCTAACCTTTTTGGAAATTTACTTTGGGAGACTTCTCCTTGAGAAAACTTGATGTTAAGTTTTCCCATGTTTATAAATTCTGGTTCAAGGAACTCATAGATTTAATAAGGAACTCAAGAAATCAAAATGGAAATCAGACAATTAAGAATGAAGTACCTACAGCAAACAAGAATGATTAAAATATGTTTCCTAAATGTTCGGTTATTGTACCTTGCAAGACTTCCGCTTCAAAACCATGAAATTTACGATTTTTCTGTATTGAGATTTTGACCTTAAGGAAGTCAGAAATTTAAGGAAGCAGCTCAGAGAATCGAAGCTGAAGTCAGAAAATAAAGAAGGAACTGAAACTACATTCTAAAGGTTAAATTATAATATTTCAAGGAAAACCTTAGAATTTCAGAATATGTAGGTACCTTTTCCATATGGTCAGATTTTGGCTTAAAAAAAAATCAAAAATTCAAGGAGAAACTCTGGGAATGGAAGACGAAGTCAGAAAATTAGGAAAAAAGCATGGAAAACAACTTGCAAATTGTTTGAAATTAGATTTTCTAAACTTTTTGGAAATGTACCTTGGGAGACTTTCCCTTGAAAAAACTTACTGTTTCGCGTTTATAAATTTTAGCTCAAGGGTCTCATAAATTCAGTGGGGAACTCAGAAAATCAAGGAAAAAGTCAGAAAATTGAGAACATAGTACGAAAAACATCTTCTAAAAAATAATTTCGCAATTTTTCTGTGAATAATTTACTCTGAAAGACCACCTAGAAAATCTTGAAATTTTAAATTTTTTTATGTTAAGATTTTGACCTAGGGAAGTCAGAAAATCCAGGAAAAAGTCAGAAAGTTGGAAAGGACAACCTTACAGAGGACAACTTTTGGAAAAAAGTTAAAAGATGATTTTTCAAATTTACAAACTTTTCAAAAAGTTTTCCATGGTCACATTTTGGCTTAAGGAAATCAGAAAATTAAGGAAGAACTCTGAAAACCAAGGAGGAAGTCATAAAACTAGAAAAAAAGTACAGAGAACAACTTTCAAATTGTTTGAACTTAGATTTTCTAAACTTTTTGAAAATACACCTTGGGAGACTTTCCCTTGAAAAAACTTTAAATTTTAAGTTTTCTTATGTTTACCTACAAATTTTGGCTTAAGGAACTCATAGATTCACTAAGGAACTCAAGAAATCAAAATGGAAGTCAGACAATTAAGAATGAAGTACCTACAGCAAACAAGAATGGCTAAAATATGTTTCCTAAATGTTCGGTTAATGTAGGTACATTGAAAGACTTCCCCTTCAAAACCATGAAATTTAAGATATTTCTGTGTTGAGATTTTGACCTAAGGAAGTCAGAAATTTAAGAAAGCAGCTCAGGGAATCGAAACTGAAATCAGAAAATAAAAAAGCAACCGAAACTACATTCTGAAGGCTAAAATATATACCTAATATTTCAAGGAAAACCTTAGAATTTCAAAGTATGTACCTTTTCCATATGGTCAGATTTTGGCTTAAGAAAATCAAAAATTCAAGGTGAAACTCAGGGAATCAAAGACGAAGTCAGAAAATTAGAAAGAAAGCATTGAAATCAACTTTCAAATTGGTTGAAATTAGATTTTCTAAACTTTTTGGAAATTTACTTTGAGAGACACCTCCTTGAGAAAACTTGATGTATCAAGTTTTCCCATGTTTATAAATTCTGGCTCAAAGAACTCATAAATTCAGTAAGGAACTGAAGAAATCAAAATGGAAGTCAGACAATTAAGAATGAAGTATCTACAGCAAACAAGAATGGTTAAAATATATTTCCTAAATGTTCAGTTAATGTACCTTGGAAGACTTCTCCTTCAAAACCAGGGAATTTAGGATTTTTCTGTGTTGAAATTTTGACCTAAGGAAGTCAGAAATTTAAAGGAAGCAGCTTAGGGAATCAAGGCTGAAATCAGAAAATAAAGAAGGAACCGAAACTAAATTCTAAAGGTTAAAATATAATATTTCAAGAAAAACCTTAGAATTTCAGAGCAGGTATGTACCTTTTCCACATGGTCAGATTTTGGCTTAAGAAAATCAAAAATTCAAGGAATCAAAGACGCAGTCAGAAAATTAGAAAAAAAAAGCATGAAAAACCACTTGCAAATTGTTTGAAATTAGATTTAATAAACTTTTTGGAAATGTACCTTGGGAGACTTTCCCTTGAAAAACTTGATGTTTCAAGTTTTTTCGTGTTTATAAATTTTGGCTTGAGGAACTCATAGATACAGTGGGGAACTCAGAAAATCAAGGAAAAAGTCAGAAAATTTAGAACATAGTACGAGAAACAACTTCTAAAAAATGTTTTCCTAATTTTTCTGTGAACTGGAGGCACTTTAGAACTCTTTGAACCAATTTAGAAGAACACTAGGATACTTTAAAAATCAGAACAATTTAGAAATTACCTACTGAAAATCTTCTAAAATGATCCAGAACTTTCCAAGCCAAATTAGAACACTGTAGAACTTCAATAAGCCATTTAGAACGTTCAGGCTTGAGATCAATTTAAAAACTTCAGAATTATTTCAGAGAGCCTAGCGCCTGGAATAGACAAAAACTGAAATGAGTAAGCAGTGTGTACCAGAGTGATTCTGTCAAAGAATTGATTAATAATTTCGAAGTTTGTTAGGGAGATTTTGGTTAAAATTAGTTCAGTTTTAGAACAATCCAAGTTAGATTGGCAAACACATTCAGGAAATTGAGTGTCTTTGTAATTGGTCACTAATTTCTGTCTAAAATTAATAAATCAATTCGTCTTGTATTTTATTTTAATACCTGATCATGATTATGATGATACCTATGCATTTTGTTCCAATTTCCTGTGACTTCAAATTTTATTTAGCATCATCAATTTCAGATTTCAATGCAAGCTTTTGTTCTTTTAATTCTCTTTTCTGCTTCCGCAACAATTTCTTTATCTTCAAAATTGATTTCTGTTCTATCCAAAACTTGTTTGTGATGTTATGAAGAT